AACATCCTGTTTCCCATTACACTTTCACTCACTAGTTTAAGCCTTTGTGGTCGTTTCTTGGTGGCAACGATCATTCCTGTACTATTGGCCTAATAATCGTGATTTTCTACTTACATTATTTTTCTACGTTTATTTGTTAGAATTCTACCATAAGGAAGAGCTGTCTCTTATCCTCCATTTATTATTCAATTATTTGTATCAGTACTGGTCTTCTTTTGGTCCACTTGACATCTTCTTGGCCCACCTTTTTATTCCAGTTGTTGCAGCAATCAGCTGTCCAGGTATACCCTGACAGCACCTTGCATCACCATAATTTCTGGGCTGGGCTTTCTCTGCCTCACAACTTGGAACTGATTTGAATTCACTCTGTCATTTTCACCTATGGTCAAACCAGGAGGTGCTAGAGAGTTGGCACCCTATGGTCCATCTTTTAAACAATGGGGATGAGAGCCAGTATACAAATACACACCCCTTAAGTGGACAATTCTGAGGTGTGTTCTTCACAGGCCCTTGCAGAATCTTCACTATCAAGCCTCAGTGGCCTCCAGCAGGTGATCATCTCGGAAACAGCCTTGGATTGGCTTTTCCTCCCTCATGTTTCAAGCTTCCCAGCCCCTATTCCTGTTCCTTGGAATCATTTTCCAAAATAAACCACCTGCACAGAAGAATTTGTCTCAGAGTGGGAGTGGGGAAGGAGAGCAAGTAAAGATTTATGTATTACCAGTTGTTAAATATTTTGACTCTCACCCCTGTACATAACTAAAATCCTATGGAAACTTTCACATCTCCAAAGGAGTTGTACAAGTATATTCATAACAGCAGACTAGAGAAAAAACCCAAATACCTATCAGAGAATGGATTATGTAAATTTTGTTGTTTTTTCCATCAGTGAAAATGAATGAACTATGTCAAGACAGATGACTCAAAGGAAATGAGCAAATAATAACAATAATTTGCAGATGAGTAATAAAGTTTGACCCCAAATATACATAGTTCAAAAACATGCAAAACTAAGCAACATATTGCTTGGAGTTACATATATATGTGTTAAAATTTTCTTTTTTTTTTTAATTTTTTTTTCAACGTTTATTTATTTTTGGGACAGAGAGAGACAGAGCATGAACGGGGGGGGGGGGGGGGCCAGAGAGGGGGGCAAAGAACAATCGGAAACAGCGTCAGGCTCTGGGCTGATGGCTCGGAGCCTGACGCGGGGCTCGAACTCCCGGACCGTGAGATCGTGACCTGGCTGAAGTCGGACGCTTAACCGACTGCGCCACCCAGGCGCCCCTATGTGTTAAAATTTTCAAGAAAACCAAGAAGATTGCAATTCAGAATAGGGTTATTTTGGGGAGAGAAAGGTGGAGGGTCACACTGGGGAGGCACACACAGAGCCCCAGTGGTGTTACTAGTCCATTTCTTAAGCTGGTACATAGGGTTTATCATTATTCCTTATACTTTATATTTTTAGGATAAAATATTTTATCATAAAAAGATTTTAGGTTTGATACTAAGAAGTGGTTACTTTTATTAAGAGTGGCTGTGGGGGAGCCTGGGTGGCTCAGTCAGTTGGGCGTCCGACTTCAGCTCAGGTCATGATCTCACGGTCCATGAGTTCAAGCCCCGCATCAGGCTCTTTGCTGACAGATCAGAGCCTGGAGCCTATTTCGGATTCTGTGTCTCCCTCTCTCTGACCCTCCCCCATTTATGCTCTGTCTCTCTCTGTCTCAAAAATAAATAAACGTTAAAAATAAATAAATTAAAAAAGAGTGACTGTGAAATCCTTCCACTGGTCTAACCAACTAAGTCATTCCAGAAATGAACTGAAAAGAAGGTTGTGTCCCTGGCTGAGAAAATTCCAAGGCTTAGATTCTCCTGTACCCTATTAACGTGATTAAACTGTGCATAATAGGACAGTTTCTGGAAGACAAGGTCTTGATTTAATACATTTTTAAGTGTTATTTCTTTTGTCAGTCACTGGATGGATTAGGTGTGAAAACAGGATGCTGTTAAAAAAAAAGTCATATCTGCAACCGTCCAGACAACCACAGATCTTTTTGTATAATAAAAAGGTGTCATCAAAGGACCTGTTACTCAAAGTGTGATGTTTGGTGTAGCAGCACCAGCACCAGGTGGAAGCTGGTTGGAAAGGCTGACTCTATACCCCACATCAGATCTACTGACTCAGAGTCTGAATTTTAATAAGATCTCTAAGTGATTCTTGTATCTCCCTCTCTCTCTGGCCCTCCCCTGGTCGCGCGCGCTCTCTCTCTCAAATAAAGAGAGAGAGAGAGAGAGAGAGAGAGAGAGAGAGAGAGAGAGAAAGAAAGAAAGAAAGAAAGAAAGAAAAAAAGAAAGAAAAAAGAAAGAGAAAGCAAGCAAGCCTCCAGCACCAGGAGAGGGGGCGGCTCATAGAAGCTCCTCAGGTTTAACTGTAACAGATCTGTCTCTTCCATGATCCTTTCTTTGTTGGCTCAAATATTTGTAAGGAGAGACTTTATTTATTTATGCTTCTTTCCTCTTTCCAACTGTGCTGGGCTGTGGCACTCTCATCCATTCAATAAAAACCTACTGAGCTTCCCTTGAGCACTGAGGAAAGGGTAGTGAATAGGATGACATGAATCCGAATATCAAGGAGCTTCCAAAATACAGATACTAAATGAGTAATTACGAGTTTGGTGAATGTTAGAAAGCAAAAAATTTTAGAGCTGGAGATGGGAAGTCAGAGGAAAGTAATCTCAGCTTAGATGAGAAGGCATATATGTAGGTGAGATGTGGGTGAACTGGGGGATTATTCCAAGCACAAGGAATACCCGTGAATGGAGCTCTTTGGGCACTTATATGTGTATTTCCAAAGCCTTGCACTGTTCTTGGCATACAATAAGTGCTTAATAAGTGTTTGCAGAATCAATATGTGTTCTGTCATATTTCAGACATCTACTCTCTGGCATGGGATATAGTGGAAGCTTTATTTTCCTTTTCAAAGGAAATAAGATCCCTTAATGGGGAAAAGAGAAGGAAGAGAGCTGACTGTTGTGCAAATTGCTAAATTGGAACTGTGAGTGGGAACGAAAAATTGATTTACATGAATTTTCCTCCCAGAGGCAACTTGACAATTTATTCTGTTCTGGAGAATTTTCAGTTTTTGGCTTCAAAACCAAGCTGTTCCTTATTCTGAATTTCTTGGCCTGCTGTGAAACTAGCATTTAGTGTCTTTTACAGCATACCCTGATTAGGTCATGGAAATTCACAGCTAGATCAAACCAGTATATGGAAAATTTGAAACTTTCACTGCCCATTTTATTTCATAGTGCTGGAAGAAACATTGACTTTTAAATAGTTTTTTTCAAAAGCAGTATTATCTATTGATCATAATTGACATCATTTATTGAACACTTACTACATATATATATTACAGAACAAAATCCTTATATTAACTTTATAAGAGAGTAAGTTCAGCCATATGAAAATTGCCAAATATTAGCAATTCATACGGTTCAACTTAATATTGTTTTCAGACTCTCATTTTAGAAACTTATAAAGAGATTAGAGAATCCCTCATAGCCATAACCCTCCTCCAAAATTAAGCACTGAATTTTCGCAATAGATAAATCCTGCGAAAGTTACAGCTCCTTAATAACATCCACCCATCTTACTCGCATTAGTACATGTGTCTATTGTGGTTTACACATTGTAGTGAAGTGGTTTACAATCCATTTCCCCTGATAGACTTGAGTTCCTTGAGGGTGGAGGGTTTTTTTTTTTTTTTCTGTCTTGCTCATTTTTGTATCATGCATAGAGTGTTTGAAAAGTATTCGTTAACTTGAAACTTTAATACCATTTCTGTCAAAACTAGACTAATCCTATTGATTTTTTACTGGAAAATGCTCGGTAATCACTCCACTGGGGCTTTTGCATTTTAGAATCAGTCTGAGGAGGAGTACTGCATTTGGCATTCTTGAACTCCTAGGAGTTTATCTATGTACCATTATGCAGAAATTGTCTCCACCCCACCCCAGAGAAAAGTCCAAAGGTACTCTCTCACCTCCCTCACCTCCTTTAGGTATTTCCTTAAATGGCATCTTTTCTGCCCTTCCCTGAGCACCCTATTTAATAAAAAGTCATCCCTCAAACACTTTCTCTGCTTATTCCCCCCGCCCCATAGCACCTATCAGCATGTAATAGTTTACATTTTGCTTATTTCTTTTGCGTATTTTCTTTCCCAACTCACTAGAATGTAAGCTCATAGGTGATTTTTCACACAGGCGCTGAATTAATAGGCAGAGTGTTCTACAAACACTACAAAATGTATGGGTATTTGGGAGTGTGGGCCGCAATTTTCTATTTAGCTTCTAAGTGACATGGTGACCTGGCCTGGTGTGGATCTTGCTTGCCCGGATATTGAAGAACTCACGTCCCCAGTGGTCCCTAACCCATTGTCTGAATAATTAATTTCAGGGTGCCCCACACGTGCCTCAGAGTTATTCCTCCCCACCCCCCTCCTCGCTGCTCCCCAGGGGTGAGCCAGCAAAGGCCTGGGGACCCAGATGTTACCACCTTAGTTCCCCCTTTTCCAAGACAGATGGGGTTTTCCTGCTTCGAGCCTGGGGGATGGGGTTGGATGGAAAAGTCAAGATTCCGACCCAAGCCCGAGGTAAAGGAAGGGGAAAAGGGCGTGTCTATAAATTTTAGGCCTCAGGCCTGCAGCCCGCCCCGCAGGCGGCCGGGGAACTGAGTGTTGGTGTCAGCGCGGGGCGCCCACTGGGAAGCTCCTGTGAGCACCCAAGGCTGGGACTGGGTTGCTTGAGGTCCCGCCCCTTCACCTAGCGGCCCCCTCCCCTCTTTGGGAAGCCTGGGGGCGGGGTTTGTTTACTCCTTGCACGCACCGCCGACCTGGCCAATCCGTAGGGACCGGCGCCTTACGTCACACATCCGGGAGCCAATCGGCACCCACCGTGCTGCTCCGCCGCCAAAGCTTGCGCGGGGGAAGCGGGGCAGTGGCAGGGTTGGGTGAAGGCGGACGAAGCAGCCTGTAATCTAGGCTGCAGCAACCACTGCTGCTCGGCACGCGGCCGCGCTCTGACCCTTCCTTTTTGGGCAGGCTCGCAGGCGCAAGCACGGTCGGCGTCCCACGGCCTCGAACTCCAGGGCCTCCCCTGGGCAGGCCGCGGATCGCCCACCCCTGCCCCGAGTGTGTATCCGCCGGGACCCAGCCGCCGCCTAACGCGGGCGGCACTGGAGCGGCGGCGCCGAAGCCGCGCCTCAGGCTCGGAAGAACAACCCTGAGAGGCCGCCTCGTCCTCTGCAGCCGAGCGGCGGTAAGGTCCAGGGCGAGGGCGCGGGGCCGCGTGCCGAGGGCCTCTGGACCCGGCCCGGCGTGTTCCTGGGCAGGTTTCCCTCCCTTCGCCTCGGGGCCCCCTCGTTACCGCGAGTTCCATCTGTTTATTCCCACGCGTTCTCCCAGGCCTGGCCGAGTAACCCCTGAGTGTCTGGGGGAGTCGGAAACCGGCGAGCCCCCCTCCCCCGCCCCATACACACACAGCAGATTGGGAGGAGGCAATGTCCCCGTGTCATGCCTCGTGGAAGAGAGGAAGGGCTGCTTTCTACTTTCTCGGTCTCTGCAGGTCTTCAGGGCAGAACGAGGGCTTCTAAGTCTGGTTTTCTGACTTTTCAGCCTTTCATGAGTCACACGCCTCCGTCTGTTTCTACCAGGTGTATTTCAGAGTTCTAAAGCTTTGAACTTGAAAGAACCTCCTATCCCGCAGAAGGGAACTTTTCTTTAAAGTAGAGGATCGCTTTTGGGGCCCAGACTCCTTTGAGAAATTCCAGAGAGCCAAATCCTCTCCACAGAAAAGTATAAAGGTTTTGTAGGATCTCTCAGAGAGACGGTTCAGCTAAGTGGATGAGCGCTCACTCACTGGTACCAGCTTGTGTTATCTTGCATTGTGTGGTCTCAGCTTCTTCATCTGTAAAATAGTAGTCACTGCCTATTACGGGTGTTTTGAGGAGTAAATGGACTAATCTGTGGAATGCATTTGGAACGGCGCACCACATATTAAGAGCCCTGCATGAGTTAGGCATTTTTATAATGGCCTTCCATGAATGCCCGTTCAGAAAAGTGCCCCGCGTTGTTTCTCTTTTTCTGTTGAAACAGTTAACAGGCTCATCCCTTTCCATATTTACTGCTGAAGCTCCCTTTGAGCCTTTGATACGTTTCTCTTCCTCATTCAGTCTCCTAGGGCTAAGGCTCCCTGTCCCACTTATTTGCTCTCTTTTTAGTAAGTTAGTTAGCTCATTCTCTTCCTTCCCCTTTCTCCCCTAAATCTTAGTTTTGTGTCTTTTCATTTGACTTCTATAGCCTAATTTTTTCTGGGCCACTCTCCTTTTCTCTTAATGGTCTGAAATTATCTTCACCTAATAAATATAGTTACAGTTATTCATCTGTCCTCTGTACAGTGTAATCATAACCCAGTCTGTGTTCAAAGTTAAATGTAAAAGGAACTTAGTTGATCTGACATCCCATGTTGCTTTTCCATTTCCTTGGTTAGCCTATAATTTAGCTAAAGCTTTATCACTGTCCTGTTACTGTAGTAAATCTTTAATAGTAGTGTCCATTCTCAAGTAGCACCAGGAGAAAAAAATCAAACGCCTAGACCCACCCTATGTACTGGCTCTGGATGCTTTTGTTATTTCTTGGAACATTTTGTGCCTGGAACTAGAGTCTAGTCTAACTGGCAGACATGGTGTCTGTAGCACTGTTTTGGCGGTAGAGTTGCAGCAATGTGGCACCTGTATTTAATAAAGGCCAAACACTTATTAAACTTACTTTTGGGTTCTCGTTATTTCCAGTTGTTTAAGAGGGAAAACAGAATTTTCAAGTGTGTAATGCTTCCTATTACCATTCTGTGATCATGTAACTTTCTCCCAACTCTTTTAAATATGTAGTCCAACTGGCACCTTCAAGTTTTTCCCTGGCAGCCAAAAATCTTAACTGAGTTATGTGCTCTCAATACAGCTTGAAATTGGATGTACAGATGTTTATCCTTAATGTGAGAAGCATTTGTGGATGAAAATTATACACTAAAAGATACCCTAAAGGATTCAAAGATTGTTTTTTATAATTAGGAATTGAAATGTGAATGCACATTTTCTTTTTTTTTTTTTTTTTTCCCTTAAACATGATAGGAAGACTGGCTTTGTTTTCTGGCTGTTGATAATTTATGTTTTGTAAAGAATGGATGACTTATTTATATTTACATTGCAAAACAGTATATTTAAAGCCCTTTTTAGATATTTGAAAGTTTTTGGAACACAGTGAGGAAACAAACTAAGCAAAAATCAAATTCATGGCAAAGGTAGTAAATTAGAACCTAAATATTCTGACTTCTAGTTTATTGTTTCTTTGTCTGTCAATCTTAACAGTTAACCCAGAACAAAGGATAGAAAGGGAGAGTTTAAAATGAAATTTTAAAAGCAGAGGGGGGAAATTGCTAATTTGGGCCTTAAATATTATATAGAGAGTAGTACATTAGAATATTTTTTTTTAATCTTTAAACTTAGGTATTTTTTAAAAGGTTAAATTATAAGCCATATATGTATGAATTTACTCACAGTCAAGTTTATATTGTCACTTGGCAAATTTGATTTCAGTTTTTTTCTGACCTTGTCATCATAGTTTAAACTCTTATTGCAATGTGCATTATGATGGATCTCAGAAGAAACTAGAAAGCATAGAGTTGAGAGTTTTTTAGATAATAGAATTGTGAGTTGTAATGAATTTTAAAGATTATTAAATATACTTGCCTTTTCTTGAATCCTTTCCATTTTGATCTGGGATATATTACTCTAGGGGTGGGGATTTAAAAGTAGATTTGTGAACTCTTGTAATTTTATGCAAAATTATATATACTTGTGTATTTTTCTGGAGAGAAGATTCATAGTTATCTAGTTTCTGAGGCAAAAGTATTTGGACAACTCCAGTTTTTATAATATGATTTCCTTTGCTGAATCAGAAATTACATTCTCACTGGGTCTAGTTCTCTCTTCCATTAGTGGGTTTTCAAATATTTGAAGATACTTATTATAGTCCCATTAATTCTTTTCTTCTCTAGACAAAATATTCTGTCTTTAACCTCTTCTAATCATTTTGTTGGTTTGATTTGAGTCTTCTCACAATACTGATGCCTTATTTGTGGATTTGTTTGAGTTCGTCCGTATTCTTGTTAAAAGTGTGATACTCCTAGATATTAACCTGTAGAGAAGACCGTAAGTTACCTCTCTGATTTTAAATCATATACTTTAAGATTAAGAGTAGATTTGTTTGACAACCATATTGCACTGTTAATTCAAAATAATGCCCTGGAGAAGACAGACTCTGGAGCTAGCCTGCCTGGGTTTAAATCCTAACTCTACAGTTTATCAGCTGGTTGACCTTGAGTAAATTATGTAAACATTTTTTAGGCCATAGTTTTCTCATCTGTAAAATGGGATTTATAATAGTGCCTATCTCATAGGATTGTTACAAGGAATGAATGAAAGATATGTAAAATATTTAGAATGGTCCCTGACATTTAAATGCTGTATACATTACCCATTAATACTGATTTTGTAGTCAACTGAAATTCTTGAGTTGTTTTGTTTATGTTCTTCCAATTCTTTAATAGAGTGTTTTTTTGGTAGGGCTTTATATTTATCCATATTAAACTTTATCTTGTCAGACTGGTTATATTCTGTTGACTTAAAAAAAAAAAACTGATTTGGGGGCACCTGGGCGGCTCAATCTGTTAAGTGTCTGACTCTTGATCTCACTGTTTCTGAGATCAAACCTTGCATTGAGCTCTGTGCAGACAGTATGGAGGCTGCTTGGGATTCTCTCTCCGCTCTTCCCTTGCTTGTGTGTGCACGTACACTCTCTTGCATGCTCTCTCTCTCTCTTTCTCTCTCTCTCAAAAATAAATAAAGTTAAAAAAATTTTTTTAAAAAACTGATTTGGTCATATGATATGTATGGGCTTATTTATTTATCAATAGATTTGATAAACTGTAAGTGTGATAATGCTGACATTGCCTTCCTGCAGATCTTATTAAAATGTTGAGTAGGCAGGGCCAAGAACAGAGCTCTTGCTCTGCTAGTGACCTCTCTTAAGGGTGATAAAAAAACTAATTAATTCTTTGGTTCAAGTTGTTCAGACAGTTAGAAATCCAGCTAATTTAACATTATTCACCTCAGATATTTCCAAGTTTTTACAAGGAATATATAAGAAACTTTAATAATTGCCTTCCTAAAACCCAAATAATTTTATATACTTTATTAAAAAAAAATCCTATCAGTTCAGCAACTGTCAGGAAAAGAGCACTAATCTGTCATTATTTGTCCGTAACCACTATACCGGTTTCCAGTAGTGTATGTTGGCTACTATCTTTTTCTGTGTTCAAACTTCTCTTGGTAATGATTCTAGAATCTTGTCTAGAGTTACATTTAACTTCAATGATCAATAGTTGGCAGGGTCACCTTTCTCCTTTTTTGAAGAGCAGTACTACATATCCTGTCTTTAGTCTTATGGTAACCTCTCCTGCTTTCCATAGTTTCTGAACAGTTGCCAGCAGCTGTGTGGAAATTTCATCTGGAGCGATATACCTTATTGAAAGTTTACTTGGAGCAGTTAGGAACTCTCTCTAATCTTCTCATTCATATTGAGCTTTGGTTTTCATTAACTCATTGATTAAATTTATTAAATGCCCCTTTTACACACAATACCAGTGTTTGTTTCACCCCATCCAATCTGAGAGAATGTTTCTTAATAGAGATGGCTGAAGCAAAGGAATAATCCACATCCATTTCTCTCTGTTACTACTGTTGTTATCATAGCCTGGGCCTTCTTCTCTGGACAGCAGCAGTAGCTTCCTATTGACCTTCTTTATTCTAATCTTTTTTTTTGTTTCTAATGCTTAAGCATTATAGCCCTTGGCATCCTTATTTTTAAAAATGCATGGATCTCAGGGTGCCTTGGTGGCTCAGTCAGTTAGGCACCCAACTTCGGCTCAGATCATGATCTTAGTGGTTCGTGAGTTTGAGCCCCACGTCGGGCCCTGTGCTGACAGCTCAGGGCCTGGAGCCTGCTTCCCATTCTGTCTCCCTCCCTCTCTGCCCCTCCCTGACTTGTGCTCAGTCTCTTTCTCAAAAGTAAACAAACATTAAAAAAAATAATAAAACAAAATGCATGGATGTCAGGGGTGCCTGGGTGGCTCGGTCAGTTAAGCGTCGGACTTCAGCTCAGGTCATGATCTCACAGTTCGTGGGTTCGTGCCCTACGTTGGGC